TGCTCGCCTGGTGGCGAGCCATCGCCTGCTGCGACTGGCGGGTCATAGTACTCCTCGGACCCATCAGCTTCAGCCTCATCACGTGCCTCGTTATCTAAGCGATCACGAAGGGATTGGGCTGCGTTGTTGATGTACGTGGGAGTCCAATCGTCCACTCGCTCCTGCAGACGCTTGCCGTCGACCACCATGAACACCGTCCTGCGACGTTTGTCGCATTTCACACCTTCCACCCCTGCTGGTGCTGACCGCAAGCGATGTGTTGCCTCCTGACTGCATGAAACCGCTGCTGCGATAGATGCAACCCGTATGTACTCAAGTCCCGTTGGCGTACATTCGACCCACACCTTCTTAGTAGCATTCAGCTCAAACAGAAGCTTCAAGGTAACTGCATCGTGATGCAAATGCTCATCACCATGGTCGCACTGGACTGCGGGCATATATATCGAGACAGTTTCTGGTAGACCACCATCCCGTTAGGGCACATGTCTAGAATGCGTTCTCTTCTACGCCCTTCACCCCCTTGGGGGAGTGGTTTGCCTGGACGGTGGTTCCAAGAAGGGCTCATATATACTTCAAGATGTCCACGGATATGTCCCAATATCACGCGATGCCTCAACATGCAGGCATGGATATCACGCGACCCAAGATTGCCCAAGCTTGTCCAAGATATCACGCGATCCAAGATTGCCCAAGAAGTCTCAAGGTCAAGAGATCGATCCAAGAGTGGTCCAAGAGCGGCCTATTCACGCAAGCGAATTAAGGCATCTCCTATTCCTCCTCCTCATCCTTTTTTTGTCATCCTTATGCTCCGTCCTCCTCCCCCTTTCCCTCCTCCCATTTCTCCTCCACCATCCCCCTCTGTTTCAGCCCCTCCTCCTCGCCCCCCTCCCCCGCCACTCCACCTCATCATCCAATGTATCATCCTCCTCCTCTCCTTCCTCCTCCCCTGGTGGGAATGCGCGAAGCGTCCACGATTGCGACATATCCAGAGAACTCCTATTGTTCTTAATGACGCTGGCCCTGTCGCAATCTTGCTGAAGCAATGGGTCGGCCTGCTTCAAGTGGTCCCAAATGGCCTCGGTGCAAGCGGCGTTGCGCATCTTCAAGATCTGATCGAAAAACGAATTTGTCGCCAGAGGCGATTGGCTCTTGGTGGGGTTGGGCACATATATAATTTTTTGCAGCTGCCTATCCTCTCTCGACAGCTCCACGAAGAGCCCCCCTGCCGCATGCATCACCGCCCTCGGGACCCATGGCTCGCGATCCTTAAGGCCGCCCCCCTCGATGACCGTGCGGAGCTGCACGCTCACTGCCATCTGCAGCTGCAGTGCGTGCGCAGATGCAGCGTGCACTCGCTTGGACACAGCCAAACGCCTGCGGGCCGATGCAATGGACAATTGCAGACGAGTCCGATGCGTGTTGACGCAATGATGCAACGATTGCAGAGGAACGATACCGACGATGCTTTCATACATTTCATAAACACCCCCCACGACACATGGTATGTGTAACCGATGCTGCCAACACGCGAGCCTCATCGCTTCCTGGCCTTCTTAGCCGCGGGCGCAGCAGGCACATCGTCTACCTTGCGCTTGGGCATGAGCGATGCCAGCTGGGCGCTAAGGACACCGCCCTTGTTGATGGCGCACTTGTTTGCCAAAATTGGTACATGCACTGATGGGGCAGCTGTAGACTTGACGGTCTTGAGCTTCATGTTGGGGGTGCCGTGCTCACCTGGATCCTGCACGAGCCAGAAGGGGATGACGAGCGAAGACGGTGCCTGCCTCAGCCCTCCAACGCCAGCGTTCGTCTCAGCCTTAGGCATCTTGATGCCACCACTGGGGGCCAACACGATATTGAACGTCAATCCCTTGGGGTCCTTGTATGTCTTCATGAACACATGCCCACACTGAACTATATCAGTCTGCTTCTTCAAGTAGATTGCCGAAGAGAGTGGGGCAAGCACCAGCTCTTCAGCCTCAAACGAACGCGTTACGGTGAGAGCACGAAGCTTAACAGGCGTAATCACGCCACTCAAGTACTTGAGACAGTTGCCGTTCTGGCTGTATACATCATCCAAGGCCAGCCTGATTTTGGCCTCCTCGATACCCCACTGGTAATCGACAGACTTGAGGGGGCCATGATCAGCGAACTTGTCGATCGTTTCCTCTATGGGGGAGCAGCGGGAAAAAAAGATGAGACATGACGACGCAGAGCCAAATGAGATGAGGGAACGACGAACGAGAATTCAAAGGTGTGGGGGTGTATATGCATTCCACATGCATTGCGACGAGGTCGCAAGACTGTCCTTCATAATCGTGGACACGACGAACTTGCCACGTAAGAAGTCGTCGATGGGGTGGCACTTCACGCCAGTCGCAGCGTCGATGGAGATCAGCTCGTAAATGTTCTCACCCAAGGTGTCGCTCGCCAAGGCGACTTTGGCGCCAACCTCAAACCCCTTGTCACTGAGCTTGTCCACTTGGTTCGACCACTTGCCCGAAGCGGTGTACTCTTTCACATCTGAGCTACGCGCCTGCCCTGTCACGGCTTTGGATGCGCCCTCGCGACCGATCTGCTTCCATGGGCTAGCAACTGCTTTGCCAACGTGCGTTGCCAACGCAGTGGTGAAGCTGACCCCGATGTCATTCAGCGTCTTGCAAGTGCCTAAGCGCTCATCGGGCTTGTTGAACACGAAATGAACTACGCGAACGTCAGTCAATCCCACGATGGTGCCGTAGGCGACCGTGTCTGCCGTGATGCCCTCACCGCATGCGATCTGTCGCACTTTCTGAAGAAATTCATCGGCCACCATTACAATCGTAGACTTCTTATCGCTCGACAAGGCGGTCACGTCGCCTGGCTTCAAAAGCATCTGATGGCCACCCCTCGCGAACTTACCCGTCGCACATGTCATCGCCTTCATGCATGCGAGCTTGAATGTCGCAGCGGCCCCCCCTCATGCTTGATCTGCACCTCGGCGAGAGACTTCGCCATTGAACCCGCGACCACGCACTGGGAAGTCAGCTGCCGCGAGAAGTCGCGAAGCTCGTTCAGAAAGATCGGGTTGCCGAGGCCGCCAGACAACTCCTTCACATATTTTACTAAGCCATCGATCTCCCCAGGAGAGAGAGAGCCTGCGCGAGTCGCCTCGCGGATCACACTATCCCAATCGATCATGGTGCCACCCGTGTGGTGTCGGTGGGCAATTGCTGCGATCTTGTACATGAGACTCATGCGAGATGCGCATCTGGCAATTTGTTGGCCTGCATTGCCAGCCTCCTGAGCAAGATTACTAATCCACGGGAACTCCTTCACGAACTCGCACCGAAAGACCTTCCACTCAATTCCTTCGTCACACGCCTTAGCGTAGTCTGGTTGAACCTCCCGTAACCTCGTCAGTGACAATTTCCCTTGGTGCGAGATTCTGTCGAAACGCTCTGGCATGACCGTGGGTACTGGAACCCCTGCGTTGATGCAACGCAAACCCATGGATGTGTGGCCGCACGTATAGGATGCGAACTTTGCATCGCAATCATACTGCGGCAGCTGGCCCGCTGAGTCCTCCATTATTTTGAAATTGAAGTTCTTGATTGTATTGTACTCAGGCGTGCCCACTGGTGGAAGTTCCATGCAAGCTGGATTCTGGAGGGCTGAGTTCTTGAATCCATTTTTGAAGATCTTGGAAATCAAATCCATAACCTCGCTCGGAATGATTCCATCTCCGTAACGATTCTCTGTGCACACCATCATATACTTCGAGTGTATTTTTTCTACCCTCAGGCAGTCTATGCCTCTTGCAATGCTGCATACGTCTTCAAGTAATGAGACCACCGCTGCATCAGGATGCAAGTACATGTCCTTGATGGCCATCATCTTGGGGCGGACCTCCGCGATCTGCTGTTCACGGGAGGCGTTCATCACGCCGCGTGCAGGAGGACGCCACAAGCGCCAGCAGCAATCCTCGCCCAAACGGCTGGAGCCCAAACTCTAGTGACATTCAAAAACATGTGCAACAGAGGGTTGCGAATTCGAAATGATATGTTGCATTTGCAATGCACAACATTCTTGTAACGCTCGATACAATATTCTGAATGCGTTCGCACGCAAGTCTGGATCATGATTTCCGATATGCGTGATCCCGAACATCCAAACACATGCATGCGTTTCTGGAGGCAACATCCAAGGAAAACCCGATGCAGCAGCTCTGTTTTCAAGTAAGCATGTAAAAGTTAGCGAAGTTAGCAAATTCGCTAACTCAAGCTATCTACCTCCAAATGCACCGCCCGAGTTAGCCGACTTAGTAACATTACTAATGGTTATAACTTACTTGCAACCTAGTTGCAACTTACTTATAACCTACTTACATGTGCTGCTAACAATTAGTAAGGCCGAGGGCCTTCAGGCAGGGACGGGGGACCAGCTGGTCCCCCGTCCCTATAGGGACCGTCGATCGGGAAACGGGCCGGGGACACCGGGGACCGGGCCTGGGACCAGGGACTGGAGACCGCGGGGACCGACCAGGAACCTGGGACCGGGGACCGGGTGGGGACCGTACCAAGACTGGGGACCGCGAACTGGGACCGCGGGACCGCGGACCCGGAGCCAGGGACCGGGGACCGGGAACCGGGGACCGGGGACCGCGGACCGCGGGACCGCAGACCAGGAACCGGGGACCGGGGACCGGGACCAGGAACTCGGACTCGCGGGGACCGGGAACCAGGGACCGGGGTCCGGGGTCTGGGGACAGGGACCGGGGACAGGGACTCGGACTCGCGGGGACCGGGCACTGGGGACCGGGGACCGCGGGACCGCAGGACCGCGGACCGGAAACCGGGGACTGGGGACCAGGGACCGGAAACCGGGGAATGGTGGGGACTGGAAACCATGGACTGGGGACCAGGGACCGGGGACAGGGACCGGGAACCGGACTAGGAACCGGTCCTAGAAATTCCGCCATTCTGCTCGGAGGGTGGCTCCGTGAGTTTCCTCGTCCTAACCTTTGGGAGCATCTTGCCGAAATGCTCGACCCTGTCGTACCTGCCCTGAGGCCACAGCTCCGGAACGATAGCCGGGACAACGCGCACGCCCCGATGCTGCGGCGGGAGGTACCTGACGATCTCCTGTGCGGAGCCCTAAAGAAAACTGACTCCCGCGTCTTCAACCTGGCCCCTGAGGCGCCCTCATGAGCAGCGGCGACCACGCGGATGAGGATGGAGCAAAGGATGAAGAAGAGGGGGATAAATTGGACGTGACAGAAATCATTCGTTCCCGTAAGGGCGCTATCAGACCTCGTGGTGACGCGAAGAAACCAAATCTGTGCCGACGCTCGCCTGCACAGAGACGACGCCAGCGAGCAGCAGCGAGCAACAGAAAGGCCGACAACTGGAACTGAAAGTGACTGATGGCAGGAACGAGGAGATGCATCTCAAAATTTCGGACAGACGCTAGCATGGATTGAGGATCCGTGCATCTGACGCGTGAGCGCCAGATCCACGGACAGGAAAGAAGGTACCCCTGGAAACATGGCGCCAATGCCGCCCGAGTTGGTGCAGAGCGCGCCGATGTTGCATGGAAACGGGACCGGCCTCAATCCATGGTTGCTATTCCTCGAAAGCTTCTGCCTTCGTGCCTCGGGTACGCAGTGGAGTGGTCCCGCAGGTCACCTCGGGCCCGTGGTGGCCCGTGTCAGCAAGGTGCCACCAAATCTACAAGTGTGATCTCCATGAAGAGATATTCCAACCGAGTGTTGGGCGCGAATTAATGGGGGGGCAATGAACTGGGGGGCAGCGAGGGCTGCAGACAAGGGGCCGTTTGGGGCCCCTAAAGGGGCCCTTTAGGGCCTAGAATGGAGCCTTTAGGCCTCGAGAAGGGCACCTGTTCTTCCCCCCATATCGATCGCCCCCCCCCTTAACTCGCGCCCAACGACGGGCCGCACCCCCCGGCTCCCGGAGAGCCCTCCAAACATCCCCAAGGCATCCCCTTCCTCCAGGCGCCTAGCAAGATGATGATTGAAGGGGGCCTGGGACACACAAATAAATACACACAAATAAAAAGATTCCCCATATGTTTCCATATTTGCCAGGGGTTTTGTCTTCCCCCCCACTTCCCATATTTTCCTGTATTTTCTGGGGAATCGACGATTGATTGTGCCTGTGTGTTTTTTTCTCTCCTGAATGATACCCGCCACCGTGCCGTGCCGCAGGCACGGAGTGGAGTGCCCTCGGGGCCCTCCGGAGCGGCGAGTGCCGCGACACTTCTTGACAGGGAGCCCACCAGAAGACGCTCGCGCCCAACCGCGCACATGAGCGTGACCCACCAGTCCGCAAGACCAGCCTCGTGATCCGAACTCTCGTGCAGCGCGTACTCTCGAAACCAGTGTGGATTCAGGTAGGTGTAGTCGTTCTTTCGCTCCCGATTCAAATAGGGAATTGAGCTCTGTACACCGACGCGTGTCCTGGGCCTGCCCTGAAACTTGCGAACAATAAAACGGATCCTGGTGTATACGGGATCCTGGTGTATACGTTTTTCGCTGTTTCCCCAAGAAAACGGGGAAACACGTATACACCACACCACCCCGACGTCGTCCTCGACCCTGAGAAACTCCGGGGATTGAAAAACAGCCCTTCACTGGTAATGTATAGGTTCAAAATATCCGATCAAAAAGGCGAGCGCCCTTGAACGCTTCCATGCCCTATCCAGAAGCCCCAGAAGCATGTTTCGGGCAGTGTTTGGCCAGCATGTTCTAAGCCCTCAGACGGCCCAAGGACATTGCCTTCTCATGTTGCAAAGTCCGCGTAGTGACCGTTACCTGCGAGGGGGGGGACCGGATAACAGTATACGGTAGGCGGAAGACGGAGGAGATGGAAACCGGAGGAGACGGAGGAGGAGGAGGAGGAGGAGGAGGAGGAGGAGGAGGAGGACGGAGGAGGAGGACGGAGGAGGAGGACGGAGGAGGAGGAGGAGGAGGAGGAGGAGGAGGAGGAGGAGGAGGTGGGCGGGGCGGGGCACGTCGGGGCGGGGCTGCGCTTCGATCGCCATGGCATGCGCGCGAGCACACGGCTGCTTGCGCCGACCACCTGCGCAGAGCCTGCGAGCACCGGCAGGGCGCCTGCGAGCACCGGGCAGGGCGCATGCGGAGGTGCTCCTGCGACCAACACGGCAGGGTAGGGGTAGGGTTCGCACGTGGCCCCCTACTATTGTTACCGCTGCCCAGGGGGGGAGGAGACGGCCCGGGAAGCGACCGCTACGCGTCAGAGGATCAGAAGCAATCTCCAGGCGTCTGTCCTGGAGCCCCGGAGACAGCCTCTGGGACCGTCTTGGAGGCCTCAGCGGCCGGCGCAGGAGCCTAAGTCGTCAAAATCCCCCACGGCTTCGCTCCCCAACTAGGCTCTGCCTAAGAGGGTATGACTTGTCTTGCGAACGAAACGGGTGGGCACGACCCCCCAATTCCAAGGCGTTGCTTGGGTTCCTTGGTCTTGGTTCCTTGCATTGGCGGCGCACGGCGTTGCATGTGTTCTTTGGTCTTGGTTCCTTGCTTTCCTGTTTGTTTGTTTCGTCTTGGCGCATCGATGCCCTTCTGGGTCAAGTACATGCCAAGCAATGACAGACAATGCAAAGCAACGCCGAGCAACACAAAACAATGCAAAATAATGCCAAGCAGTGTCAAGCAAGGCTAAGAAAACAATGCCAAATAATGCCAACAGCTGCCAAGAGGCACACAGCAATGCAAAGCCGATTCAGAACCAATGCCAAGTACTGCAAATCAATACCAAGCATCGCCAAGCAATGACAATGCCACACAATGCCACACAATGCCGAGCCATGCAATGCAACACCAAGCGAGGTCAAGCACCGCCAAGCAATGCCAAGACATGCCAAGCAACGATCATCAGCAATGCCAAGCAACATCATAAAACGCCAAGCAACACAAATCAACGCCAAAAAATGCCCAAACCTGCCAAGCATTGCAAAGCAATCCTTTGCGTTGCATTGCGCAGATTTGCGTTGATCAGCACTGTTTTGAATTGCGTTGGAAGCAAGAGTGTCCCCAATTAGGGTGGCGACGGGGTCATGTTATGTTGGCATGGTCGTCTTTTCGGTCAGAAGTGCGCGCAAGACGGCCCAAGAAGCTTCTAAGACTGCCCCAAGGGGCTCCAAGCCCCCAGGAAGCGCCCAAGCGAAGCCCAAGACGGTGTCAAGAGGCTTCCAACAGGTTCCCAAGAGGCCGCCCAACAAGCCCCACGAGGCTTCTAAAATGCCTCTCGTTCACAACCCATTCACGGTGACGGTGTTGGCCGAAAGCTTCTGGCTTTGGAAGATTCCGACATGAAGCCTGCTGCAACCGAGTGCTCCCAGGCGCTCCCAGGCGTTGCCGCGGGCCTACGACGGGAGTCGTCGCGTGGCTTCTCCAAAGCCCCAGGCCCGCCTCGGGCCATGTTCGTGGCCCTTGGGCTGCCTCGAGGGCCCTGCGGGGCCTGCTGAAGGAACCACGGCCATCGGACATCACCAAGCTTACCGAGGATACAGCCACCGTGCTACCACGAACTCTGAGCATCGTTCAACTGATCCCTATCCCCACGGGCGTAGCCTGGGCCACACTGGCAGATTGATCCCCCTAGATGGGGATACAGGCCGTTCCCTTCGAGCGTCGAGCGGCAGATCCCCAACTAGGGTGGTGGGACGGTGGGGATCTGGACGGGGATGGAGAAAGGGAGAGGGATCGGTTAAGCGATGCTGAAAGTCCGCAGCATAGGACAGGAAGGAGGTTTTCTGGACACGGCGAGCCTCGGCGTCCCCGGCCCAGATCTGAGCAGCGGCCCGAAGGCCCGACCCCCTCCTGAGCCTGAAGTGGCCTTTACTCGGAGGCCTAGAAATGGGCACCAACACCAACATAGGGGGCTGCCTCCACATAGGAAGAATATTGGAAGTCAGAATATTACCACCATCACCGAGATCGGGATCTGCATCCCTCGGTAGGGGCACACCGCCGATATTGGTGGTGGTGTCAACCTCTAGGCCTGCGATTTACTTCAGCGTCTTGGCTGTATGCAGCTGCCGCGCTGACAACGCAACAGGGCAGCCAATGTGGCCCATGAGGCACCCAATGGGGGCCCAAACGGCCAACGTTTTCCGATGATGCGCCCCGCTGCTACAGTCGCCCTCGCCTGACAACGCGGCCCACTGCGTACAGCGCCCATCTAATCATGAAGCGGCTGATGGAAAAGGAATAAGAGGAATCCCCATGACTGCGGGAAATTATGCGCGGCGACATGCGTTTCACCTCACGACGGGCGGACGAGGTGGAGGAGCGAGGAGAGGGGATGGTACTATAAACAAGGGAGGTAACATGGAGAAGGACGCGAAGGGGAGGGAAGGAGGGAAGAGGGCGAGGAAGAGAATCTGGAGGGACGACGGGGGGGAACGAGGAGAGAAGAAACGGGAGGACGAGACGGCAGACACGCCAGAGAAGCCACGCAACGTCAGACAAGCAAGTCTGCCCAGATTGGCTAGACGGACCAGACAGAGCAACATTTGACCAAACCAGGCAGACACGCAGACAATGCGGACCCCTGAAAGCAAAGAAACCGCCATACGACACAATTTGATCATGTAACAGAGTCAATAAACGACCCCACGCAGACATATCCAGACCACGTAACGCATACTATTGCGTGGTCGATGGGCACGCTGTGCCGCCAACCCCCTCCAGCCAAAGCAAGGCACGACACTTCTCCGCACAAGAGGGGCAGCTCAAGACGTACGAACGGCGCTCGGGAGGCCGCAGGAGGAAATGCACCTGGTATTATGTGCGGATGCGCTCACTGCGAGCTCGGCGGACAGCGCTTGAGCCAATTGCCGAAGCTTGAGCATTGCTCGGCAGGAGGGGAAGAGCGACATTGGCCGCGGAATGACACATGCACTCTCCTCCGAGAAAGCGGTGCGGAGCTCTGAAGAACAACGACACAACCAACGCAGCACATAAGGCTCGCTGTGGAGGCCGATCGCTGTT